TGGCCACACGATGAAATAAAATCCCGATCGTTCTCCGTGGATGTAAGCCTCACCTACTGTGAGGAAGAACCACGTTAAACCAAGCGTTCACTTTACTTTTCGTCAATTTCTACAAGGAATGAATCATCCATTACTAATATAAATAACATTATATATCTCCAAAGTCAAAAGTTAAAGGAAATTTTCTCTCTGTTTGGAATTTAGGTCAACATTTAACATTAACAAGAATACAAAATTGTGGTCCTGTTTCTCTTTTGTGACATTGTACTCCATGACAAAAAAAAAAATCTCATGACAAATGCCCCTAGTTAATCACTACTGTTACTTGCCTTTTGTTTCTCTGAAGTTTCAAACTAGTCAATTTAGTCCATAATCAGTTGATCACAATGGAAAACCAAGAAAACCGTTCAAATTCTAATATGAAGTTAAATCTGACCAATTGAATGAGGGTCATCTGCACATAGGCGGAGCAAAAGCCTTTTAACTTTGTTACGGGATACGACGTGTAAGTTTTGATAAAAAAAATAATAATAAATCTTCATGTGTTGCTTATGCAAAAAGTTACCATTCTAAGGTAATACAATGTTATTTTCTCACTACGTTAGGGCATGTTTGGAGGTTGAGATTCTCCAAATAGATGCATTTGTTCAATTTGTGTATTACCATTTGATGTATTGATTCAATGCATGTATTAGGAAAATACTTTGTTTGGAGGAGCAATGATGAAACAAAAAGTAGGGTAGACAATCCCTTGTTAACAATCTCACCTTTTGGTAGAGATTTATAATCATTCATTTTGAGTGATTATAGGTGGGCCCAACAAAAAGGTAATACATGCATTCTAACTTAAAGTGAACCAAAAAAACGACTTAATCTTAACATTACATGTATTTGCTAAATACCTCACTTCAAATCTCAATCTCCAAATACCTCACTTCCAATTATTTGGTTACCATTATATTAATTTATTATAATCAAAATGAAATTCCCAATGGCTATAATTTATATTATGAAAAAAAGACACACCAAATTTCGACTCTAGACACCGCAACCCTATATACAACCCGATCGAAGAGTTGGGTTTGGGAGGTGCTGGAAGGGAAAGTTTGAGACGTGGGGTTTGACTCCAGGCGAGACTCGTCAATTTATATTTTCTTCTTTTTCTAATCCTCCCAATACTATATAGAAGTTCCTCATGAGAACACACGCAAAAGTGAATTTCCGGCTTCAAGCGCAATTAAAGGAAGGAACTGGGGAATGGACCGAGATCGAGGTCCAGCTTGTGACATGGATGGAACTGGGGAATGGACCGAGATCGAGGTCAAGGGAGGAGCCAGGAAAAGGAAAATCAGAATCGCCCCAAGGATTGAGATATAGAGTGAGTACGCCCGCGGTCAAGAACTCGCCAGATATGCATGCTACTGCACGCGGACTAAGATAGATGTGCACACCTAGCTTGCCGGACGTGTTAGTGTTATGGTACATGATTCACGATTGAACCTCTTTCAACAACTCGAGTTATTGGGATCAACAGGTTCTTGACATGGTATCAGAGCCTTCTGTGACCGAGAGGTCTTGTGTTCGATTCCCGGTGACCCCATTTGTTAATGATAGAAACATGGTTGTTACTTGTTAGGGTTTTCTATTATTAATTATGGTAGGATAATTATTATTAGGGTTGAGTCATATTAGGATAGTCTATTAGGTTTTTCTAGTCCTTAGCTATAAATATGTATTCTGGATCTTTTGTGGGATTAAGCAGAAATTAATTGAAAAGTCATCCTTCCCCAAAACCCTAATCTCTTTCTCTCTCAAATCTCGTCTATCCTTCTCTCTAGAGGCTTCGGCCGTTCTTTCTGTTCTTCCCCAATTCTATTCTTGATCCCCAAATTCTCTTCTAAAATCCCTAAATCTCTATCAATTCCCAATTTCCCAACCTAACCGATAGAACCCTAGAAATAGGGTTTTATCATTTGGTATCAGAGCCTCAACTGCTGCATACCGGCGAATTCACCATGAGCTCGATACGGCTCTCTGATCTGGACTGGACCTATGTGCAGCAAAAGATTGATGCCATCCGGGCTTACCAAGCTCGAACCGCGCGAGAACAGGGCAGGGAGATTGTCGCTGCCGCAGCGGTGAGACGGCGAGCGACGCCGCTGGATGTGGCGGACGGCCAGCCGAGGCGACCGGCGATGGTAGGCTACCGCGGGGTTGCAGCGGCATTGGCGGCGCGGCTGGGGGAGGCTCCGCGGTCCAGGGAGGCCAACGGCTGGTCGCGGCAGCTGCTGACGGAGGGCGACAGTGGCGGCGCGGTCGCAGTGGCGGTGCGGCAGGGGGAGACACCGCGAGTCGAGGCGGCGGTTGGGTGACGCGCATCGCTGAGCGCGGCCGGGGCGAGCGCGGCACTGGCGGCGCGAGGCGCAGGCGGCGGGCTTTCTCGTGCAATGCCAGAGATCGAGGAGGGAGGCAGCCTCTACTTTCCCCTTGCAAACCCTTGTTCGACTCACATCGGATAACATCAGTTCGGATCGTTGGGAGAGGCCCGAGTCCCATCGCCAGGAAAGGAGAATCAAGAGAAGAAGATCGGCGCTGGGGAGCTGCTACTCGCGTCGCTGGGAAAGGAGTCGCCGGGGAAGGAGGTGTCGACGTCTCCGTGGAAGAGGAATCCACCGGGTTGGAAGACGAAGCTAGAGGCAAGGAAGGAATTGGGGACGCCGCTAGGAGAGTCGAAGGAGAATGAGGAACGCGGCGACGATGACTCTCCCTTCCGACATAAGTCGATCGAGGCGGAGAGGAGAAGCGTTGAGTCGGCCCTGCCTCCTAGCCACTTGACAAACTTGTCGAAGATGGCGCCGCCAGAAAAGATGGCGAGGGAGGAACCGCTGATGAGGGAGTTGTCGGGAGCGGAGAAGAAGACAAGCATGGTGGCGCTGGGCACGGTGGCGCTAGGATCTCCACCCATTCGCCTGGTGGTTCGGCCATGGCAGGAGGAAGGGGTGGTGAGGAGGAATGGTGGCGACCGTCGAGGAGCCGGAGTCGGGCTTGGCCCTGGCCGACAGGAGAAGAGCTCACCGCCGGAGAAGGAAGGCAGCGGGAGCTTTCTTCTCGCAAACCCTAGAAGCAGCAGAGTGCATCACCAGCAGCCCTTAACTTTGGGCCAAGCGACTGGGCCCAAGTGTGCTTATGAGCCAACGTGAGTGAGCTGGCCGGATCAACAGAGTGGTCCAATGTTTGGGCACGGGAAGAGCTGGTTGGTTCGCGAGGTATGTATCGGTGGGCTTGTTTCGGCCCAATCGGGTTATCAAAGCAACTTGCGGTTTAGGCCGGAATGGGTCTTGCTTGGGCTTGATGGCATTGGAAGTATGCAAGCAACAGATAGAAGACGACTGATGGGCTTTACTAGGCGAGATGGGCCAGGGCTGCAAGGAGAAGTTGAGCCACCAATGAACTCTCTTGTTGGATTTATTTTGCCAGAACAAAACATGAAGAAAGAAGGTAGTGGGCTCCAGAAAGAACCACTCTCTTATTATTATTTTGTGGAGTTTGAAAAAGAGGATGGAGGGTCATTTGGTCATGGTTGCAACATGAGTAACATGGATAGGGAGGAGGCCAATGGAGTGGGAGTTGCTGGTGTAAGATTCGCTCGAGTAGTGGAGCACGATTGGAAGAAAAGGAAGCGTCAGAAATGGAGAAGTCAAGGCGCAGATGGCATAAGAGATGTGGGGAAGTGGGTAGAGTCAGGCAACCTTGAGGGCAAGGTTGATTTCAAGGGGGAGGGAATGATAGAAACATGGTTGTTAGGGTTTTCTATTATTAATTATGGTAGGATAATTATTATTAAGGTTGAGTCATATTAGGATAGTCTATTAGGTTTTTCTAGTCCTTAGCTATAAATATGTATTCTGGGTCTTTTGTGGGATTAAGTAGAAATTAATAGAAAAGTCATCCTTCCCCAAAACCCTAATCTCTTTCTCTCTCAAATCTCGTCTATCCTTCTCTCTAGAGGCTTCGGCCGTTCTTTCTGTTCTTCCCCAATTCTATTCTTGATCCCCAAATTCTCTTCTAAAATCCCTAAATTTCTATCAATTCCCAATTTCCCAACCTAATCGATAGAACCCTAGAAATAGGTTTCTATTAGTTAAGCACATGGTATTCTTGTCTTCAGACCTGTTCAAACTTCAAGCCCTTGTGAGTGGCTTTCATTTGAGGGGGTGTGTTAGTGTTGTGGTATATGATCCACGATTGAACCTCTCCCAACAACTCGAGTTATTGAGATCAACTGGTTCTTGACAGGATGATCGGAGTAACTCCAGATGCATGCTACTCGCACCACCACCAACACCAAAAAGCAGCAGACGCGACGACTTCTGACTTTGGGAACGGGATCTTGAAGGAGGAGCAGCAGAAGTGGATAGACAAGAAAAACGGTGGGTAAGATGGGGCGGAAATGTAATGTGTATGTTTGTATGTATTGCACAGTACATGTGTATGGAATCAAAAGAGGAACATCAAGAGTGTGGATTGTTCAACCGAAGAATAATGAGTTCTTTATTAGTCATGATGTACGTAGGCAAGAGTTGTAGGTTGTTACTTGTGTTTGATTGAGCTTTTGTGATGCAAGGGAAAGCTAGTATCTAATGAAGTGGCTGTAGTTATTTTTCCGTCATAATATAAACTCATTTGTGAATGTAAACTGGTTGTATATATAATTGATCTTTTTTTTTTTGTATGTAGTGGTTTGTGCATTTCATTGTTCCAATAAAATTGAATTTCAATAATTTTTTTATATAAAGATGGCAAAAGGTCGCATAACAAACGGATATATTTGCCTCAACAAATAACATTTGAGTCAAAAATATTTGTCTCTAAAAATAATTATTTGTTCCTATAAGTGATACTAGATGCAAAATTATTTGTCACTAAAAATTATTTAGAGACAAATATTTGTGTTGTTAAAATTAGATATAAATACTAAATATTAGTCACTAGAAAGAGATATTAAATACTAAAATATTAGTAGTTATATCTCAATTCCGCAACAAATGAGATTTGTTTCTATATTTGTTTTTATATGGCTACAGCAACATCACTACTTGAGACAAATGTGTTATGTGTGTATGTATGGATATAGAGACAAATAAATGGCATGTAGAGACACATTTACATTGTCACTATACCCCATTTTCTTGTAGTGTGCTCATGATTTAACAGTCTATCAACTAGACGTCAAGAGTTCATTCTTGCATGGTGAGTTAAATGAAGATGTATACATCACTCAACCTAAGGTATTTGAAGTTTCATGGGAGGAACGAAGCAGGCCCCCAGGGTATGCTACAGTCGCATTGAAGCATACTTTGACCAATATGGATTTCAAAGATGCACATGAGAGAATACACTATTCATCCAAGGAGAAGGAGCCAATATGTTACTAGTAAGCTTGTATGTTGATGATGTGATGCAACAATGAATGCATTATTGTTGAGTTTAAGGCTTCAATGCAAAAGGAATTTGAAATGTCAGACCTAGGAAAAATTAGATACTTCTTGGGGGTTGAAGTTGTTTGGAATGAAGGAGGCAACTTTTTGTGTCAACGGAAGTATGCAAAGGAAGTACTTGACAGATTCAAACTTCTCAAGTGCAACCTGGTAAAAAAATCCAATGGCTCCTGGAATGAAGTTGTCTGCAGAAGGAGATGTAGTTCCAGTCAATGCAACTCATTATAACCAATTGATTGAAAGTCTACTTTACATGGCAGCTACATAGACTGATATAATGTTTTCGGTATTATGTTAAATGGGTTAAATTCAATCTCTAACAAAGCAACACATGCTTGCATCTAAGAGGGTATTAAATAACTAAAAGGAACTCTGGAGTATGGAATCTGGCTTGAGAAAGGAAGAAAATAAAATCTGGTTGGCTTCACTGATAGTGACTACGAAGGAGATGTGGATGACAGGAGAAGTAAAAGTGGATATGTGTTCTTTCTTGCAGGAGGAGATGTGTCTTGAACCTAAAAAAAGTAGCCAGTAGTGACTCTGTCTATAATTGAGGCTGAATTTGTGGTTGCAGCAGGGTGTGCATTACAGTGTGTTTGGCTTAGGAGAATACTAGCACAAATGGGATGTACCTCAAGCGTGGAGAAAGAAAACAAGATCTTCTGTGACAACAATTTAGCTATCAAACAGTTAAATAATCCATTGCTTCATGGCAGAAGCAAACATATTGATGTTAGGTTCCATTTTCTGAGGGATCTGATTAAGGATGAAATTGTTAGTTACCGGTTCGATTATGGACTACACCACTGACAAGAGAACCATTTAATATCTCTACTTTCATAGCACTTCAACTTGTTGTCTTCTATGATGTTGAGTAGTGAGGACTGCAGGTGACTGCCGTGATGATGCTTGCGTTAAACTCTTCAACAACAGCATCCATCCCAAAACCCTAGAAACATAAATGAAAAAGACCAAAAAAGGGTGAAAACGAGTGTGAAAAAGATATTATTGTTCAAAAATATTATTGTTTTGCAATTAATTGAGATCCCCCTTACTGATAAAAAGGAACCTTATTTACGTGGTTAATCGAATTAATCAACAAATGCTTCATGTCGTTGTCATGCGACTATTTTATATCACGGTTCTTCGGTGATGTGCCTTCACCCTCTTGGAGATTAGGCTACTCTCTTGTGTTTGGATCATTCATTTCCTGATATTTTGTTTTGTGCTTATGGGTAGGTGCTCACTCGGATGGTCAACGCGAAGATTCGTCGCACGCAATGCAAAGCTATGATGCATTATGTACAAGTGATGTGGGATTTTGTTCAGCATGTTAGGTTTCGCTTCGTGTCTCGTAGGTATACTAGGGTTGCCCCATATCGTAGTAAAAAAAATCCTTCTCGTCGTTGATTCGGCATTTTATTGACTAGTACACTTTATTTTTTTCTTATTTGACCTGCAAAAAGTCCTATTATTAATATTATTATCGTATCTTACTATTCCGTGCCGACATATTTCACAAAAAGAAGGGGAAAAAATACATTACTCTACACCCGCTACTAGGGGTGGCTATACGGTCCGGTTCGGTTAAATTGGCCCAAATTGATCCGGTCCAGTCCGGTCTTTTTGAAAATATAAGGACCGAAGATTGGATTGGATACAGTCCGGTCTTGATCCGGTCCAGTTTTGATCCGGTCCGGTCCCAATTCGGTCTTGATTTTACATTGAGATTGTGGGATTTGAGTGGCCTAAGGCCTTAAAGGGTGAGGAGCTGGTTAAGTTTTGTACTAAGTGCAAAGGTTTGTGACCGTTTATGCAAATTACCCTTAAGTTTTGGGTGTTGAGCTCTCTTATCCGGGTTTTTTACCTCAAATCTAAGCCCAAAGATTGGATTGGATTGTTTACTATCCTGTCCCGATCCGGTCTCGGTCCGGGTTATACGGTCCGGTTTCCGGTTTTTAATCCGATCCTGATCCAAATAGCCACCCCTACCCGCTGCATTCATTTCAATCAAACATATCAAAGTTCAACTTTATAAAAAATCTACGAAAAAGTGGAAACAACTTTATAAATATGATTGGACTTTTTTTCCTTGGTTGGTTGTTACATGATTATCTGTGTTCCAACATGCTACTGATCATTTGACAAACGAAAAACAAAGAACAAAAGGGAAGTCTTCTTAAGCTTATGCTATCAGTTATTTTATAATATCACGTGTTCAGAGAGTTAAAAATCCTTTTCCCATCAAAATAACATAAAATAAAATCATTTTTGTTATTAACAAATTTCATCTGTATTACAATACTTATCGTTCCCCTGCCGAATATTTTTATTTCCTCCCTATATTGTGGATCATTATTGATGCACCAGCATGTATAATAATGGGTATCCTATAACCATAAATAAAATAAAAAAAGGTGACGCCATAATGTTGTTCTACCAAGCCGCTGGAAATTGATGGTCGAAAGCCAAGCCAACCATACACAGAGCATTCCAGCAAGTGATGAACTAACCAAGCATAGCAGTTTATTGTAAACAAGACTACTTGATCCAGCAGCTTGCCTTTAATAAAGTTTCCCTCACTGACCTAAAACTCTGAGCTAGCTGGAGGGTGTTCCTTCTTTATGAACCGTGATGTAATATGAATTGTATCTAGTGATTACATAGTTAACAGTTTGGAATAAAAAAATTCCTGGAAAAGAAAGAGTTGATAATATCACCCTCGTGCCTCTATATTATTGCTAATGCATGTATTCTCGTTAAGTTATTATTACAAGTGTATGCATGGATTCCCTGTCTTGGGTGCAATGTTCTAGCAATATAGCCAAATGATGGGGCAGCCTTCCACACATTTGATTCTGTTCATCAAAGTCGATCACTTTACACAATGCTCTTTTGGTTGTAATAATAAGCACTGCAGGTTCATCGAGAACCAGTTGGTTGAGCGCAGGGTCGCATTGTGGGAGTGTTGGGAGGTCCTCTCTTACAAAGCCTTCAAATTATTGGAGCCTCCTATTATGTATAGGACCAATTACTATTATTAAGTATGAGTTTAAAACAACAGAGAATATGTATCTAAAAAAATATAAAAAATAATCTCAAGATCTAAAAGAACGAATGGAATATATGCATGAAGGAAAGATATACTTGCTTTCTTATTAGACTTTTTTACTAACCATATAAGAGAGCTCATTCTTTGTTCGTCTGTTCTCTAAAGAGAATAAGAGAAGTAAGATTGATTATGCTTCTTTATTATTGACGAATGACCATAGCACATTAAGACACAAGTCAACAACAGTAAAAATGAAAAGAAGTAAATCAATTATAAATAATTCCAACTTACTTAACTTTTTTAAACTAAAAAATCATAAATGTTCCTATCTAATATTCGTGTTCTCTATTATTTATTTCTACTTTCCGAGACTTCTAAATTCTCCTCTTCAACTCAATTAAGTTCTCGATTCGAGTTAATTGATTATTTTTCAATTTAATTCTTATTTGGTTTCTTTTGTTTTCATCTCGTTTGATTCAACTCTCAAGTAATCAATTTTTTATTTCATTTTTCTATTTGAACCATTATTTCTATTTATTTCAAACAATATTATATGGCTATTGTTTTTAAATAATATTGTTATAATTATTTTATTTAATGATTGATGTATATTTATATTTTATTAAATTTTTATGAAAAAATTTTGGGCCACATTTTATTTATAAAACATGGCCTTCTGAATCTTAGGGATGGCTTGGTTGAGATAGGTTCTATTATATACGGATCTTATACTATTTACTAAACACCAACTCATATGAGGTTAAAATTTGTACAAACCTGAAACTAAGTGATTAGCTTAACAAAACAAACGATGGGCTTAACAAACGAGGGTCGTCGATATTCAAACACAAAACCTCATGATCATCAAAAACAGAGATACCATATCAATAACCGATTAGTTATTAATCACTCGAGTTCTTGTAAAATTTTCAATTATTTATCTTATATCTTTTACTAAAATATCTCAATCCCATAAATTTGGTGAACTTGCAATTGCTTTACTTCTTCAGTTACAATTCTTTATGTGCTCCATTTTTTTTATAGACCATGTGCATTTTAGATGAATTCTACTGCATCGTTCCCACTTCCCACGTGGTTCTCAGAAAAACGATCGATACATCATTAATAATATTAATTAATCATTTCGAAAGTCTTATCTCCTTTTATCATTATATAACAATCGGGACAGGAGAATGCCAGAGCACATCTTCGGATTTTATTTTATTTTATGAGTTGTTGGTCGCTAGGGAAATGGTGGAATGAAGGCCTGCTTCGACAAAGAATTAAGACAACGTGCGCATAGATTTGCAATTGGAATTACCAAAAAGGAAAGAAAGAAAAAAAAAAAGATTTGCCATTGGATCGGATCACCAGAGTTGACCAGATAGGATTCTTACATTACATGGCGTCAACTTGGTATGAGAGGCGACCTTGTTGAAGAACGTAGATAGATATACATACGGAATTCGTTCCGGCATTTTAGTGATTCACCAATATTACCACCAAAGCAATCAATAAGAGCCAATCCGAATTCTCCCATTTTCCTTCACACAGCATCTAGGAAAAGTCCCGAAGCGAGCTTATTGTTGTTGTTGGAAATCTATATCACTTTTTAATTAACGACGTTATGATCATTTTCATTTTATCAATCTTTATTAAAAAAAATATTGGATCGAATTTTAATTCTGCGCAAAGTCTTGAGAATGTCCTAACTCTAAAAGGTAACTTTGTAAATAATTGGCCTTCACTCAGGCATAATTTTTTTCACATTTACATATTGTCTGATATGCATGATGTTTTTCATATGAATTCTGAGTTGAGTAGGAAACATGTTGGGCTACCACCATTTCGAAAAACAGAGCATATTCATGTGCCAACAACTAATCAAAGATTAATTACTAGAGCAAGTCCAGCTCTTGTCTAGCTAAGCTAAGGACCGAAATTCCACATCCACCCAACGTCTGGTTTTCAACTTTGTTTTCAACTTAAGTGCCCAGTTGAGTATGTTACAAGGAATTTATGTTCGATAATTAATTTTATTACAGATTTTAAGACTTCGTAGTGCTGAACGGATCTTCACAGAAAAACCAAAAAGAAAGCCACGATAATCGCGCACTTCCAGCGACTACTCTCTCATAAGCCACTCTACTAATCCGTTTTTCTTTTAAGAAAATGAAGCTCTTGATTAGTATAATTAAGTGTCAGTTTTGAGATCCGTGCTAACGCTAAGTCTATTATTTTGCCTTTTATCACTTATAGAAGTCAGTTTGGTAATCACGTACAAACAAATAATTTGTAAAATGGCATTACATAAGTTTGGCATATCATTATATGATGATGAGTTTATTTATATATAAATGTTATCAAAACAAATTATGTCAAATATCGTGTACTCATTTTGTAAGTCTTAAGTAACACATGATTAAACAAATTGAAATTGTGTACTCTTTACAACAGGATAAATGGGATTTAGCACTAACTCAAAATGGTTGTTACCCTAATGTCAACTATGATACAACTTGTTCAAATTGAATAGCTTCATTAGTACGGTATTGTTCACTTTGGACTAAATTCTGCATAAATTTACTTCTGGATATCCTCACAAAAAATCTCGTACTAATTGAGCTAAATGGACAATACTATACAAGGACAATTTTGCTTCATAATTGGTAGTATTGTAAGCTCTTCTTTTTTGCTTTTGCTTTTGTTTCAAGTATATATTAAATTCTGCATGAAGTGGTTCTCCACATTCTCTGCCATTAGAATTTAATGCATGTAGTGGACTATTAGTTGGGCAGTTAAGGTTAAATCTTGCTCAATAAAATAAAAAGAAAGCTTGGCTAATTCTCAAAAGTCGCCATCTCAAATCGAACCCAGATGTACCACCGTATGCATAAAAAAAAAAAAAAAAAGAGTATACGCTGCACTACACGCATATGATCGATCGTATATTATTAGTTGCTGTTGTAGACGTCAAGAGAGATTTATTTATGATGCAATATGGACGGCGGGAGGGATGGGATGGGAGCCAGCCAATTTAATTAGATCGATGCTGCAGCTGCAGCAATGCATGTGGTGATTACTAATGATGAAGCTGGCTGGCTGGCTTTATTTTAACTTTGACCATCATCACTATTTCCATTTACATTGCCTCCTTAGACATAAAACGAATCATGATTCCGTGAAACAAGACAAGTTTTAACTTGTGTGGCAAAATTATGAAAGGACAAGTTTTTAACTGTAATGGTCCACCGGTTCAGTACTGGTAATTAATCCGCCATCATCATGATCATTACCAAATCCGGGCCCACACCGTGCGTGGTTTGCGCTAATCACCGTGTTCAGCAGCTGGTAATTATCTACCTCACTAGAATAAGTGGTTAATCAGTTGATGCCTCATTTCTGTGAGTGCATGGCTCGAGAACTCTTATTCTAAATTCATTCTTTTCAACCACTGGGCCTAGCAACTAGAGCATTTAATTTACTAAAAACTCTTTCATGAACTTTAAGAAACGAAGAGGTGAAGCTAAAAATTAGCGTGAAAGAACCATCTCTCTACTGTGCAGTCACTTTACTGTCTGAAACGCCAATCATTAATAAGAATATAAGATCCAATTCAACTCAATGCCTATAAAAAAACAGAGAGGGATATTTTTTTTCCCCTCCTTTTCGCACAGGGTGAATGAAATTTGAGTCTGGTATGACTCTTATTATAGTCGTATATTCGTATTCAAATTCTTAAACTAAATTTGTTCGGATTCAAAAATTTACTTTTATCTTTAACATTTAGCTCGATAATGACAGAGCCAAGTAGTGTCCATGTGACAAATCCCTTAAATGGTGTAAGGTTGTCACGTCATTTTATGTAGCCTCAAGTGATAGAAAAACCACATATCACTAATGGTTTAAATACGCACAATTTAATTAGGTGCGTGACGAAAGACTAATTAGTTGACCTTTTAAACATAATGGTCAAGTACTCTTGGATTGGGATTTGGAAGCTTACACACAATGTCCATTTTTAATACGTAATTATTGGCGCGATGTTCATATACAATCATCGCAAAGCAAAAAGAGGAATGATCTATCTACGGAGGAAACAGGCTTTCTTCTCACATGGAGAAGAAGAAGAAAGGCAAAAAAAAAAAAAAAAAAAAAAAGAGGAAACCAGTGGGCCTGGCAGTGGCTTAGCTTCCGCGGGAGTGCGAACAGCCGGAAACTGAAACGAAAGTGGGAAAATGGACCTTTTCTCTACCTACATCTGGCTGCGGCTCCTTTCCTTTCCTTTCCTTTTAGGCCCGAAGGAAACAAACAAACAAACAAGTGCAGAGCGTCTACTTTATATATTAGCTTTCTGTTTCGTTCCGAGTTTATGATTTGAGAAAACGCGGTAAAGGGTGTTCTATCTGTTTTGACTCCTAACCCAAATTCATCCAAAGTTCCCACCTTCTAGGCTGGTTGACACCATGAATGTGGATCACATGGCAAATACAATATTAATATATATGCACGTTGCCGTTTTAACTCCTTCAACCAAACGCCGGCCCCTTTAAAGCTACCTTCGGAAACACACCGTCAACGGTGAATGTGTTGGCAACTAATTTGTTCCGATAATTCGAATAATTTGGGTGGGATTTAGTAATAAATTTTGTATCACATACTAACAAGTCCCCTCAAACAAAAAAATCACTTATATGGACTTGAAATTCTTACAAGTTTGAATATCATCACGTGCTTTGCTATAATTGTATATTATATCTGAAAATTCTTATAGAAACAAACAGAAGACATTTATAATTTGTTCCGTCGGATTCGAAGAGAAGACATTTCGATTGTAGAAAACTTTATATCATGTCAAGAACGAAAATAGTCACATGTATAGTTGTAGTAATCCACGGACGGACTAGGACGCCCCAAATAACATGATTACTTGATTTTCAAATTTCGACGTAACCATATTAATTTGCTAATTTATATATAAAAATATAGACGAAACATCTATACAAACTTCAAAATTCATAACAAAAAAAAAAAGAACTCCCCGTTCCATCTTGGTAAATGAAATTATCGACGTTGGATTTAGTTTACATGCAGATTAATGGTGTGAGAATTTCAGATTCGGCAAACCTTTCTATAATTTCATAAAATGGTATCATGAATATACTACTGCACAACAAGTTTACAGATAGAAGAGTCTAAACAGAATTAAAATTTGAGAGATGTAGAGATTCGTAGGCCCTGAAGCGTGACCTAACAAATTTTTAAGAAACATATTTGAAAGGAAATGCGCAAACTAAATGAAGAGATGTAGAGATTCGTAGGCCACTGGAAAAAAATGTTCATTTCACTGTTGCTCTGTTACTTGAAACCCCAAAAAATTATTTTTCTAAGTTGCTTGTGTTATGGGTTAATTAGTAAAAATTTTGAAACGTGGAAACGGAGTTATAATTAAAACTTTTTGTTATTATAAGCAATGGTTATACAAGCTACGACTGCTTTAGTAACCAACTTCACCGCTCAAGATAGAGTGCATGGCTATGAGTAATTAAATCTGGACCCTTCTTTTAAGTAGCTGCAGATCTAAGAGTGGAGAATTAAAAAAATTTATTTTCCCTAATTTTCTTGATTGGATTATACCTTCTTTATTCTAACTCGGATTTCAATATTTTTTTTTTCACAGATGAAACGAGTTTGTTGTGCTCTACAAAATGATATCAATTTTCAATATTTGTTGAGAAAAAAAAATTCATACCTCTCGTTATCAACTCCATACAATATGGTATCTCCTTTGTTTTTTATTCGTTTTCGGAAATTGTTGCACAGAAGGAACGATTTAACCATGATCTATTGGATTTCAAATTTTTCTAAATGAAAAAATTTCATACCTCTCGTTACCAACTTCATACCATACTATACCACTCTGGTATGGGGTGGTATTTTTCATACCATTTGGTATGCTGTTATTTAATACCAGTCAATACCATATGGTATAGACTGGTAATAACTGGAAAAAAAATTGTTATAAAAATATCAAAGTGGATATCATTTTGAAGAGCACAATTAATATTATCTAAATGTGCAAAAAAATTAACTTCCGAGTTAAAATGAGTGAGAAATTGTCTATTAAATATTAAGGAAAGGAAAATTAAAGGTTTTTCGATAAGAAAGAAGAAAATACTAATGTGAGGAATTCTTATTAGGTTATACATAGGGTTATAGCACAACAAGCTTACTCACTCGATTTGCTCCCAACTTCATATATCACATGCATGTGGGAATAATGCGTGAAGTTGAATTACCTTACTCTCGACTCTTTACTGGAATTGCTGACTATTATAAGAAAATATAATTTTTCAATTGAAAAGGGACATGGGAGACACAAAGGCACCTCACCTGTTTTCCTTGTGTTACTGTCCGCATTGTAGAATGACAATCTTCTCATTCATGGTTGATCTAAATAATTTGAGGCCCCGTTTAGTATTGTTGTCTGTTTTTGTTTCCTATTGTGTTTTTAAAGATTGGAGAAACCAAGAAAAAAAAACATGTTTAGTTGGGTTTCTATTTTCTGTTGCGAATCAGAGTTGCACAACAAGGCCCAAATATGAGGAACGACAATTTATTGCTTTGGATATGATTTTAAAACATGTTGCACATGGGATTCCTACTGGTTGGGCACTTGATTTCATTAAACCAGACCAGTTTTCGAATCCCCACAGAAGCAAAATTTTTTTTTTTTTAACACAGCCGCCACCCCCCAAACCCTACTTCTAACATATCAGCCGCCGCCCCCCAAACTATTCTCCCCCTAAACCCTTCTCAACAGAGGCGTCACCGGCCACCCTTCTCAACAAGGCGCCACCTCCGCCTCACCTCCGCCACCTCCTCAGTCGCCGACCCCTCCGCCTCCGCGCCCGACCCCTCTACCTCCGTGCCGATCCAGCCTGCCGCGCAGCCCGAACCCTCCGCCGCGCAGCCAGCCCAGCCCGCCGACCCGCCGCCGACGTCCGCTTGCCGACCCCTCCGCCTCCGCGCTGACCCAGCCCGCCGCGCAGCCCGACCCCTCCGCCGCGCAGCCAGCCCAGCCCGCCGACCCGCGTTTTTGTAGTAACTAAACGCGTTTTTGTTTCTTGTTTTCAGCTTTAATGATTTTTCAGATTTATCAACTAAACAGGTTTGTGTTTTCTGTTTTTTTCCTGTTGTGGTTGTACATCTGTTTACACAACACCACTGCAACCACAACAACAACAAAATGATACTAAACGGGCCCTGAGTTGTTAGAAGAGATTCATTCCTGTTTTCCTTGTATTACTGTCCGCTTGACAACCTTCACATCCATGGTATTACTATCAAGAACTAGTTAATCTAAATAATTTGAGTTGTTAGAAGAGATTCTTTCGTGGATCATATATCATTTACTAACACAACCCCTCAAACAAAAGTCATTATATATGGATTTAAATTTGCACAGGTCCGGATAACATGTGCTTAACAGAACAGATGGAGGTCATCGAGATTCGAATAGGAGACCTTGTGGTCACTTAAAGCTCTGATGTCATGTCAAGAACCAATTAATCAAAATAACTCAAATTATTGAGAGATGTAATCAAAATTACTAACAAGTACTCAATACTCCTTTGTTCCTGGAAAGAAATTTTGCATTATGCAACAAGGGGTCTTTTTGTTGCTGGAATTATTTTATCGAGATTCTTAGAGTACTTTTATTCTTTAGAATCTACTGTTTTTCATTGTTATGCATAACTATCATTCAAAATAAATGACTGTACAATTTTAGTTTAAAACTATGACCCTACTGTTTCCGTTATATGATTGTACAATCTCCATTAAAATTTAAAAGTTGAGATTGTTGTCTTATTTTTATTTCGTGTTTATTCTGTGAAAATGTTTTTTTATGAAAAAAATGTACAAGTGGCATTTTTGTTAATAAGTGATTTTCCTCCTTAATTATTAAAAATAGAATCACACATACCATCTATTGTAATCTATAATACACGAAATTTTATTTGTGAGGTACTATTTATTCTCAAAATTCTAGTAAAAAACAAATGTGATTCCAGGGCGAGTGGTAATGTGGTAATTAAACAAATTTGTTCTCAAAATATATCGAACATGAATATCAATTTATAAATCACAAATATTTAATCTCTATCTTTTGATCTAACCTCGCTCAAAATTTAAAAAGTGCAATCTCATTATACAAAAAGTGCATAATCAAGGAATATGCAGTCTAGACCCAAATCCGGGCATATGTATGAAACTAGTGAAAACTCAAATTTGTTTCCGCCTTCAACTCGGTTAAGCGGAAGAGCGAGCCGACTTCACCATCTCTCGGTCTCTGTTTTTTTCTGGGTTTTTCTGACTCCTCCTTATTGCTCTCCAAATCCAAACCAAATTCGCCACGTTCTCACACGCCCTCCCATGGACCCACCACCACACTAGTTGCTCCCAATCCAATCCCTTTAAATACCACCCCCACTCACTTCTCACTCTCTCATTCCCTCCCCAACTCAAACTTTCCCTTCTCCCTCTTCTCTCTCTCCCTCCGCCGCCGTGCCGGAATTAATCCTCCACAACGGCCGCCTGCAAACTCTAGCCTCACCACCGCCCCTAAAAACCCCACATTAATTAATTCTATACCAAATGGCACCTCCAAACGGAGCCGCCGCCGACCTCACACAACCCTTGGTCGACTCCCACCTCCACCCGGACCCGCTCCCTTCCCCCAAATCTCCCCCGCCGCCGCCTGCAGAGCCGCCCCACTGCGGCAGCAACGAGCTCGAAAACGTCCTGTCCGATTCCAACCTCCCCTTCGCCGCTAGGTTCAGGCGGGCCACCGCCATCGAATCGAAGCTCCTCTTCCACCTCGCCGCCCCCGCCGTCATCGTCTACATGATCAACTACCTCATGTCCATGTCCACCCAGATCTTCGCCGGCCACCTCGGCAACCTCGAGCTCGCCGCCGCCTCCCTCGGCAACACCGGCATCCAAGTCTTCGCCTACGGCCTCATGGTATTCTACTCTACTCTAACCCCACCGCCCCCGCTTCCGCCGCTTTCTCTCAATTAATCCTTACCGAATTCCATGTCTTTTAATTTAATTTCTCCCTTGTTATTAACGTAACAAAATACACTTTGCTGACGTGTACCAAGAGGAAGAAAAAAAATTACATTCACCGACGTAGAACACTTGGTCTTCTTGGGTCAAACACCCACTGAAAATTACCTTGCAGGAAATTTTTTGTATACAAATTGTGTAACAACATAACCATAACAGTTTAATTTGTAAAAAAAAAAAAAAGAGACGATAACAGTTTAAGAAGTAGTTTGGATGGACGAATTTAATTTGTGACGGAATTAAGTAAAAATGAGTGAAATTCACAATTTTTTCATCTGTAATTTTTTCATGTATACGATAAAAGTAAAATCAAAACCGTTCATCTAAAATGACATAAACTAGACGTACACACTTTGTGACTGAATGTTTGGTAGTAATCCGTTGTGTTGTACATAAATATTGCATGAAACTCTATCCTCTAAACATGCTAAGCTTGTGAGGCTAATTCTGGTAATTGAATTTGTTTGAAATTTTACAGCTGGGGATGGGAAGCGCGGTAGAGACACTGTGCGGGCAAGCCTACGGAGCCCAAAAGTACAAAATGCTGGGGGTCTACCTCCAGCGGTCAACCGTGCTCTTGACCCTGACCGGCGTCGTTTTGACCCTCGTCTACGTCTTCTCCCGCCCCATCCTAATCCTCCTGGGCGAGTCGCCGGAAATCGCCTCAGCCGCGGCCGTGTTCGTGTACGGGCTCATCCCGCAGATCTTCGCGTACGCCATCAACTTCCCGATCCAGAAGTTCCTGCAGGCGCAGTCCATCGTGGCGCCGAGCGCGTACATCTCGGTGTTCACGCTGGCGATCCACCTGGTGCTGAGCTGGGTCGCGGTCTACAAGCTCGGGATGGGCTTGCTGGGCGCGTCGCTGGTGCTCAGCCTCTCGTGGTGGATCGTGGTCGCGGCCCAGTTCCTCTACATACTCTATAGCAGCAGGTGTAAGTACACGTGGGACGGGTTCAGCTCGCAGGCCTTTGTTGGGCTCGGCGGCTTCTTCAAGCTCTCCGCCGCCTCCGCGGTGATGCTGTGCCTGGAGACGTGGTACTTCCAGATCCTCGTCCTCATCGCCGGCTTGCTCCCCGATCCTGAACTCGCGCTCGACTCGCTCTCGGTCTGGTAAGCAAGCACCTCTTTCACCTCTTAATACGATACGATTTTACAAACATTATTGGGTTCATTTTCATTGGCTAAGTAGTGGGTTGACGAAATGAAGTAATTTAGAACGGAGAGTAACGTGGAGGGGAATTGGGGTTTGACTGACTCTAGTGTTGCGAAAATTCCTTCATCACGTGCAGCTAGCTGAGAGGTAGCGCCGTAGCGCGTAGTGTTATGTAGCAATTCAAATTCCTTTTTTCTGTCTATTGGCCCCAACCTCAGTACTCAGTAGAACATTGATGGACTAATGGAGTGTGACAATTTTGTTAGCGTGCTGATGGGTTTCGGTTCGAATTCGATTCATTTAGATAGTGCGGTCTAACAATTTTAATCGATAGAAGTTACCATTCCAAATAATCGTTTATAGTAATCGTACAAGCGTACTAGACATACGCAATGTGCGAGATATGAAAAGGTGCCAGCCATGCCATGTTAGACTTACACAAATGGCTTCAAAATGTGTGTTGTTGCAGCATGACGATATCGGGATGGGTGTTCATGATCTCCGTTGGCTTCAATGCCGCCGCAAGGTTGGTTTACGTTTGACTTTTGATGGATCCAATTCTTCTCTTCGATTTGTGTATTTATTAATTAATTAATTTGAGCTGTTAATGTTGATTAATGATGCAGTGTGAGGGTGGGAAACGAATTGGGAGCAGGTCACCCGAAATCGGCGGCATTCTCCGTGACGATGGTGACGTCGATGTCATTCGTGATCGCCGTCATCGCCGCCGTGGTCGTGCTGGCTTTCCGGAACGTGGTCAGCTACATCTTCACCGACGGGGAGACGGTGGCCGCCGCGGTCTCCGATCTCTGCCCACTCCTTGCCGTCACCCTTGTCCTCAACGGGATCCAGCCTGTCTTGTCGGGTATCTATTATTTACTACGATCCACAATCATGAAAAAAGAATGTATTAAGTCATAATTAATTTGGTTAAGTATGTTCCTAGCATGTGACATGGAATTTAATTGCGTATATAATATATTATTCAGGTGTGGCTGTTGGGTGTGGATGGCAAGCATTTGTGGCTTACGTCAACGTTGGATGTTATTACTTCCTCGGAATCCCGCTCGGCATTTTCTTTGGGTTTTACCTCAATTACGGCGCTAAGGTAAGAGAAAAACATTTCATCCGAACAACTCGAGTTATTATGATAAATGGATATGTAATTTGTACGGTGATGACGAATTGGTAAATTTGTTACAGGGAATTTGGACGGGAATGATTGGCGGGACGGCGCTACAGACGGTGATTTTGTTATGGGTGACATTCCGAACGGATTGGGACAAAGAAGTGGAAGAGTCTTTGAAGAGGCTGAACAAGTGGGACGACAAGAAACAACCACTCCTTGAATGATTGGTTATTTTTGGGATGATGGTGATATAGATAAATGAGACTTTGATGGTCGTCGACCGACCGAGAAAGAGCCAAAGCTAGCCGACGGCCGGAACCTACCGGAGCATTGTGCAAGAGAGAGAGAGAGAGAGAGAGAGAGACAGAGACAGAGGGCGCCGTATACAGTTTGTTCTGTTTGGGGATATCAATTAATTTGTTAATTAATTGGGGTAAATTAGTGTGTGGGGAAAGTGTGTAATGGGTGGTGTTTACGTTGTTCCATTTTGTAACAAGTCTCTTTTTAATTAGTGACAATATATATATATAATTACTAATTAATAATCATTAGTCACACTGGCGTTGTCCCAAATTTCTTGCCTCGAGCCGCCAAAAAAAGGTTTACACCTGTCGTCCAGTGTCCACTCAATCATAGATGGAAAATCCCAATTTGGTCACACTCTTATACTTACCAAGATGGGTTGGGACTTGGGAGTGGGACTCTAATTTCCATGGTATATATATATAATTATATATAAACAAACATAGTCGTCGACATGAACACTATAACCAGGATATGTGAATGGACGGGAAAATTTCCCTAAATGACACTTAATAAAACAAATTACTCCACTTACACTTACATTTTTCAAAATACTAAAGTTTGAGATGGTTTGCTGAACACCTAAGCGAATTCGATGGAGTTGGACGCGAGGTACATGTACTTCTCTGTAACTAGAACAATCCAACTGGTTTGCGTTGGAGCTCAACGATTGGTTGATACCCAGCGACACAGATCATGACACTGGATTGTGCACACGTAAAAAAGTGATTTGTGTCGATGGTTGCTAAGTGGCCCGTTTCTATGATGCAGGTTGTGGTGAGGAGGGCGGACAACCGTTGATAAGAAAAGTCTATTATGGCTAGGCTACCCTAGTCTCCAATGGTAGAGATCAACAGAGCTTCAATGGCCCGTCTCTCTTTACTCGCATGTCTGTTGCTGGTTTGGTTGTGTTATTGCTTTATGTTAATGAAATGGTCATCACCGACACTGATCTTGATGGTATTTGCAGTCTGAAAGAAGGTCTTCATGCGTCGTCCAGTTTGAAAGATCTGGGTGAACTTTCTTATTTCCTGGGTATTGAAGTCACACGCACTTCCAAGGGTATTCTGCTAACTCAACAAAATGCATCTCTAGCCTCCTTGCTGGTAATCAGTTTAATGACTGTAAACCTATTTCCACTCCCCATATGGAGCCTAATGTCAAGCTAGGCCGTGACTTTGGCACGCTAGTGCATGATAGTACTGTGTATAGGAGCATTGTTGTATCCTCGTATATTTGTCTGCTACGTCATATATCTCCTATGCAATCTATGTTGTTAGTCAATCATGTCTACTCCTCATACAGATCATCTTGAAACGGTTCATCGTATGCTACGGTATCTGTTGAGTACTTAGGATGTTTGTATGTCTTTCCCTCCACTGGTACTGCTACTCTTCGTGCATATTAGGATTCCGACTTTGTTGGCTGCATCGACACTCGTTGTTCTGCTACTGGGTGGTATGTTCAATTTGCCTCAACCTTTATCTTGTGGTGGTGTAAAAAGTAGGATAAAGTTTCAAAGTCTTCTCTATAGGCTTGGTGGTATGTCCTATTCCCATGGATCTCTTTGTGGACTATACGAGTGTTATTCGTATTGTGGCCAACCTAGTGTTTCACGATCATATGAAGCATAGTAGCATTACTAAGATTCATGTTCATTACATCTGTGATTAGGATGGGATGGTGTTGTTACACTTCATTATGTTTGGACTAAAGATCATATTGATGACATCTTCACAAAGGCATTCTCCACCAATCGACATTGGTATCTCTCGAGCAAATTGGTGCTTGTGCTATGTGATCAACATCAATTTGAGGAGCTTGTTAACAGAATGAAAGACCTATTTCATTTCTTCCTTGTACAATCCAGTAGAGATAGCCCACCAAGCCCATTGTATAATCCGTGTAGCCCAAGTGTGAGTAGCATGTCGAGTAGTAGTGGCTAACTCTAGGGTTCGATTTCTAGCTTCTTCCTTGTATATAGTCCTGACAAACAAGGAAGCTACTGTAACATATAATCATTATCTTCACAAAATAATATTAGTACCCCAAAGAGTAATCTGACCCTTTTGTGGATTAATTCGGATCATACCACGTAAATTCAATTGTTCATTTTCAGTTTTTCTGTCTATTTCCGATTGATCAAACAATTTACCGAGTGAGTTGATAGATACCTCCAGTTTATAATTTGTTGGGCCAAATTAATCTTTTGTTTCTTTTTTTTTAATAAAGATCTGGATCATTTCATTAAGTGGTGGAAATTTGGTTACAATCAACCCTTAGGAATACAGGGGGATCTAGCAACTATAGGTGTCAAAAACATGACCCGACCCGAGTAACCCGCCCGCAACCCGATTGGACTAAAAGTAAAAAACCCGCAACCCTATTGACCTGCAACCCACTTGAACCAAACCCGATTGACTTGTAACCCGCTTGACCCGTAACCCGACTAATCCGAACCCGATTAACCCAACTCGAACTCGCCCGGTTGACATGAATCATACTACATAATATATTTTGGTGCATAAATATTATATGTAGATAAAGGTTTACTTTGTGTTGACAACTGTCATTAAATTGAATCACATAATAGTCTCACTATCTCATTAGATAAGTAGAAATCCTAGGAGGGTTATCAACATTTTACATTTGGTTGATGTATATAAATAATATATATAGATAACACATAAACATGATTTTACATTTGATTACAACGTACAAATTACAACATGTATTTATAAATAATAAATCATTGAGACACTCACTACAAGAAAAGGGTTCTTTAATCACGGGACATACCGTGTTTAACAGCATGTTTCCCGTGACTAATAATTTTAGTCGCGGAAAAATTACCGTAATATAAAGCTTTGTGACTAATTATGTACCGTGATTAGTTATATGTATCGTGACTAATTGTTTCCCGTGACTAGATATTAATCGCTAGTTACAGTATTTATGACATCTAGCTATGTGACTAATTATGTACCGTGATTAGTTATATGTATCGTGACTAGTGTGTACCTTCTGGAATACTGAAAAACATTTGATGAGTTAGGCAGATTAGGTTGCTCATAGAACCTCTCGTATTAAACTGCATACAAAGAGACCCATGACTGCTAGGAGTGCACGACAAAATCAGAACAACTACCAGAAGCAACCAAGTTTGAGAAGCGGCAAACATAGATAAGGTTTACTGAGCAACCAGCTTGAGTAGCAGCTGAGCGCAGTAATAGGAAGCAACATGTCACCCCTGTAACACGATTTTAACCAAAGTTCATCCGTTGCTTTCAGGGATCATACTAGTTGCTTCATTTTAACCACGTTACTACACCATTGGAAGCTTATACAAGTTACTCAGTTGACAATTCAGCATTAATTAAAAAAACCAAACAGAACCTTGACACCAACGAATCTTGTGACATGCGAATCTAGAAAATGAGAGATAACAATAATAGCACCATTGGAAGCTTATGCATCAATCTTACCATTGCAACCAACAACGACGACACTTTGTCCAAATCAAGTAGGAGCCTCACTTTAACAGCATTGCACCAGATCTGTGTCTTCAAACTCATTCTCAATAGATCTAGCAAGCACTAGGTCTACCGCAATCAGTGTAGGAAAACAGCTGCCAAGCCCCTTTAGTTTTGTTGGATTGCAAGAGCTTAAACAAAGAGAGAAAGGAATGAGAATCGACAGCATACCTTCAGGCGATAAGTAGCACACAAGGACAACAAAAATCCAAGGAAAACCCCTCTATTTGTTGGGCCTCAGCCCTGATTTCTTCACAAATCTTTTTTGTTAATCAGAACTCAGAAGGGCCTGGATTTGACAAATGTCATAGAGAAAGTATAAGGTCATTAGGAAGCTATGACTATGAGTGTGTCTGCTAACAAACAGAAGGTAACAGGCAAAGCTAGGAAGTAGAAGCTCGTCTAATAGTCCCCATCTACATGGAATATGAACAAACACTGTGCCGCGACTGCTATAGCTAGAGGCATTTGTTAATCTGGTTTGGTTTTTCTGGAAACAACGGGTATTTCAGGAGGAGCTATGCAAGAGAATAGTGCTGCCTGGGTTGCTAACAGTTTTTTGTGCTCCTTTATGAAATCCAAAAGAATTATGTATACATCACCACGCTGGCTATTGAGATTCGATCCCATGTATCAGTAGAGCAAGAGTAAGCTCAATTAGGCAGATCACACTCGCAATGTTCTCAATCATACTGTTGGTGAAACACTAACACAAAACAAGTACAAAAACACCAAAAACAAACGATGAAAACAATCATTTACTTCTTCTTCCCTGCTTTTCCTTCCTTCAATCTCACAACCTCATTCGCATACCTCACACCCTTGCCTTTGTACGGCTCGGGGGGCCTCCATCGCCTAATCGAAGCAGCAAACAGGCCGATGTCACACTTGTCATACCCACTGATTATGATTCTGGTGTTCTCTTCGACCTTCACCTTCAAGTTATCCGGAATTTTCATCCTGACTGGATGAGAAAACCCCAGACTTAAAACCAAGTCGTTTCCTTCAACTGTTCCACGATAACCAACACCGACTAACTGAAGCCTCTTCTCGAACCCCTTCGATACTCCCACCAACATGTTGTCGGTAAGTGTCCTGAGAGGCAAAGCGTAGTCAGAGTCATTATAGGTAGTACGTAAATTTGACAAGGTACTAGTGACAAGAACATGGCCTCGAGTTTCTGTTCTCAGTTTGTTCCTGCTATAATAGCCAAGAGCACTATAATTTCTTAGATGACAACAAGAAGCTTCCATCAATACATGATAGCTCATTTCACACTTCTAGCCATGTAGTTCAGTAATCAACTAAAACTCCAAGTCATTAATATATCAGTAGGTGAATTCCCACGCAAAATACTTCATGACTTAGAACAGACTACAGAACTCATAGAAGCCCTCAAAGTACCCAACCAATCAGTTTCTGAAAATGAAGCTACTTTTCTATCACACACATTCTGCTATCATACACAGAATCACTATGGAAGCAAAGTCATGTAATCAATAGAGTTGAGAGATAACCTATAAAGCCCATGCATTTGGTTGGCCCTTCTGGTCTCCGTCGCCTTCTTAACACGAATGGTTCCATCCTCTTGCCTCTCAAGCTTGACTTCAGAGGGGTAAACCCTAGAGAGTTCACCCAAAGGTCCCTTGACCTTCAGTTCCTGGGATTCCAATGTGATGGTCACATTCACTGGAACTTGAATCGGCAGCTTACCGATTCTTGACTCCTTACATTCGATACTCCACCTCGGGAAATTTACACGAGGAACTGGAGTGAGAGATACACAGATTCTGCTACTCTCGCCCCAAAACACAGATCTCATATTGCTGAAAACATCAGAAGAAGGCAAGGCACATCTGAGATTTCAGATACCTCAACTCGTGCTCTATATGACTACATTTAGTTGCATACCAAATAGACCAAAGAAGGAACACAAACATAGTCTAACACACTTTAGAAATCCTCAGCCTTGAAGGCTAATTCAAAACATTCTGCTAAATTCAGTATAAAAAACCATCATACGGAGATTAACTCCTCTCGCTTGAACTATTTCGCAAGTAACTTGACTTCACTAGCATTGTGAAAGAGACTGCTTTTCAATGTTTACTCAACATTTTCAGCGAAGAAAGCTCCACTGGAAGTTATATCACTCTAAATGAGAATGGGAGAAGGAGGGCTCTCGTAGAACCACAATAAAACCTCTAGCTCAATAAGGCTCTAATCAATGATATCCTTTCACCTGAGAATCTCAAGCAATTTTCAAGTAATTTAGATACCCAGAAACGTTTAACAGAGACTGAAAGTGAAGCCAATAGAGCTTCAAGCAAGAATCTTTTCACAAAATTACTACCACGGGTAAAGGAATTCGAAGCTTTATGGTAAAGGGTTCTCGAACCTGGTACGAAAATTCGAAGTGATTGAGGAGGACGCCATGACCAGGAGCTTCTGAGCACAGAGAGGGCAGAAGACCCTATCCAAATTCCAAAAGAAGGAACAGATAGTACTGGTTAAGTAGAAGCCAGATTACAAAATTGCTATATCTCCACCGCAATGTGATGGGCCCAATATTCAACCAGAAAAAACATGTGATGGGCCCAATTCATTTTTGAAGATAGGCAAAAAGAAGAGAGCTAACCCAAGCTCGTCCGTCGAAGGCATTTTTCTCTCTTAGGCCTGGCCGCCTGGGCTTTGTTTATCCGGCTTTCTGCCGTTAAACCATAAGTCTCCAACCCAGTTTAGGGTTCGTTTGAATTTGGAGAACAGGATTAAGGACATGGATTCACTGAATCCGTAGATTTTGTAGAAAGTTATGTTTTTTTGTTGCTTTTTTATTGTGGATTCTAGCTTTAGAGATTTCAAATCTCTAAAATCTGTGGATATCAAATCTCTCATAATCAGAGAGATTTTATATCTTGATTCGTGAGATTTTTTCTCTCCTAATTTTTCTCTTGCTTTTATTTATTTATCACATGAAATATATTTATCAACAAAGTTTTTAATATTTCTCGAACCACTCTAATTTTTTATTAAGGATAAACATGTTATTTAATATAAAATTAAATTTTTTATTTTACTTGAATGTTAACGATCACAGTTACCAAACAATAAACATTTTAAAATTTGTTTTCAACAATCCGAAGAGTTAGATACTTTAGATTGTTGACAATCTGTAGATTTAAACTCATATTCTCCAAACGACCCCTTAGTTAATTTGAGACTTCGTTAGTCTACAAACTTGTGATCTTGTTGAATCCGAATTTGATTGAATCAAGTCAAGTGATTAGGGTGGGCAACCGGTTTGGTAAATCTTAACCGAATCGAAACCGAATTAATGTTATTGAGTTCGAAATTCGGAAGGAAAATATGGATAGTTCGGAAGATAAGATTTTTTCAACCAAACCAAATTTTCGACCGAAAAACTATAATTGCAAGCTCCAAATGGTGGATTTTTATGTACCAATACTATATAGCATTGTAAAATTTCTCTTTTATGTTTGTAGTTGTTTTTAGACTTAAATATTTGAAATGTTTTATAACTTATGTGTTGAAAAGTTTGATTTTATCATTGATGATGTGTAACACCCCATTTTCAGGTTAGGGTGCGATTAAGGTTCGACCGAACGTTTGGATCGACGGTTACGTACAAAGAGTTACAACCGCAGATTAGGGATAATAATAATAATAATAATAATAATAATAATTGTATTATTATTAATAATTATTTAATTAAAATAAAACCCTAAACGTCCCCAACCCCTACCAAAAACCCTTGTGTTCTTTTTTTTAAACCACTAAATCACCACTGCCGGAGCAGTTGTCCACCTCTCGCCTTTCCGCGGGTCGCCCGCAGCCCCGCACCCTGCAAAATTGAACCGAGGAAGATGACGCTCGACCGGATAAGCAACAACCTCTTCACGCTGCCACGACACCCAGTTTCTTCTTTTTTCCTTCACACCTCTGTGAACAAGAAATCAATCTTCTACCCCATCCTTTATTCCGCGGTTCGTTGGGATTGTCTACACCTCGACCCCGATGACGGCAGCTTGGCTCCTTAAATTGGTCTCGAAGATGGATTTCGTGGTCCATACTAACCATACCCATGAAGGGTTTTACTCACTTCAACACTTTGACACCGCCACTAGGCATGGCGGGTCTTTTGGAGGTAAGGCATATACTAGAACTAGATCAAGGTCCAGGGTTCTGTGGGGACTGTAAAGCTGAGAAAAGGTAGAGTTCTTGCTGCTTCTCATGTAGAAACTCTGCATTCCAATGGGAGAGCTTACACTTCAGATAAACAGACAAATGGGTTGTCAACAATTATAGAGATGGATGGATGGATCAATTATTCATGGGGAATTCAAGCTTGAGGTGGATGATCGGGTAAAGAGAATTTTGGAAGCACCCAGGATGGATCTTGCTTGCGCACTCAAAGTAAACGAGGGCTCAAGGCGACCAACCGTTGGATGATGACTAGTTCAAGTAAATCGACTTGATAATAAGGTGAGTGTAAAGGGGGTAAATTCTACGCCTTACGATTTTCAAGTAATTGCCTTGAGTATTTTTCGAGTATTGCCTTACGTGATATATGTGCAGTATTTGATTCATGTTTGAGATTGCATGATTATGGTTGGTGATATGTGCCTTGTTTGATTTATGACTTGAAGTGAATGGTTATTATTTACTTTGAAATTTTCCTGAGTATAAGTTATTGTTAAAGTTTAACAAACAAGTTTTTTTTAAGAAGTAACTCACCTTCATGAAGGTGACGTCGTTTTAAGTGTTTTTAGTCACTAGCGCCAGTCCGTTGCCTTTTGAGACATTTTGAGATAGAGCAGCAGTTATGCTCTTGAGAATCGTGGTGAAGAGCCACCACGATAAGTTTAAGATGTTAGGGGGATGAATCGTTACGACTTCCCTAACTAAGTTTAAGTTTAAGGAAAGCCTGGATGGTTTCTCATACGTATGAGTTGGCAAGCGGACTAGCTAGTGAGGGATCCCCGTGTCAGTCAAGTTTTTAAGTCAAGAGAGGAGAGCAACTTCAACTCCCTCAAAGGTTAAGAGTTAAGATTTTAAGATTGGAAGTACAAACAACTTCCACTAGTCAAAGTTAAGTGTTTAAGTAGAGTACTCAAGTATTAGAAGTATTAAAATGTAAGGGCGTAGATTAACCCCATCTCACTCACTAGTTTGAGGAGCTAGAGGAGCAGTTAGTGAGCAACGAGTTCGAGGGCAGCCAGCTAGAGGAGAGCAGTATAAGCGTCACGGAGGATGCTTAGTCAAGGTTTTCAGTAGCGACAACTTCAGAGATTATTAGTTATTTACATATATGATTGTGAGTATAGACTGGAGATTATTTTTGAGATTAGATTGAGACTTTCAAGTTTGAGTTTAATTTGCCCACGTGTTAGGGCTTTGCTTGAACTTCAAGTGTGTTTTCAGTATTTTATTTATGAAAATTTTTCCCGCTGCAATTTAAGATTTGAGTATTTTATATAGCAAGGGCATTTTAGTAAAATTAGTACCCGGCCGGGTTAGGGTGTTTCATTTTGGTATCAGAGCCGGTCTTCCTCTGTTACTTGGTTTCCAAGGAATACTGGAATGTCGGTCTCAGTTTTTAAAGCATTTGTTTTAAAGGAAAGGAAAACGAGTCAAGTGTCTTCTTTTAAGAGTCTATAGAATCGCCAGTCTACTCTAATCATAATAAGGTGAATAACTATTACAACACGACACTATGATAAGGTAGCACGAGGGTGCAATTGGTTTAAGAATAAGCTAGGACGCGAGTTAAGTTAACCCGTCGTGGGACGTCAAATAACAGATTGAGGCGTATGGCGATCATCAGTAAGAAAGAAAGGATGAAAGGAACGTGACCAACCCAAGTAGAATATCAAAGGCTCTCATGATAGAATCAAATGTGCGAGGACTTCAACTCCAAACACCAGCAAAGAGGTGCCAATTGAAAGGGAATACCTCAAGGATTTTGAAGGAGTTGAGAGAGTAGTATGAGGATTTTACTACTAGGAAACAAGTGGATTATCTGATAAGCTAAGACAAACAAGGGGGAGAAATATGAATCTCCAAAGGAAGAGGAACAATCACCAGATGCCAGTAGCTATGATAATAGGATGATGTTAGGGTCTTTGGTCCTAAGTAGTGGAAAGTGGGCAACGGGTCAAGAAACAAAGAGGCACCACGAGAAGTCCCTCAACTAGTTTTAGTGGTCAACGCTATTACAACTCAGTGACAAGGAGCAGAGGAATGTTTAGACTTTAAGAAATGCTAGGGTAGTATAAAGGAAGCAAAGGAGGAAATAAGCAGGCTACATGGGATAGGAAAGGGCGTCAAGAAGTTAAAAGGGACAAGGCGGAGAGGAGTCATGGTCATTTCCATATGACGATAAAGGAACCCTTATAGAAAAACTACCTCACTAGAGAAGAGGGTACATGACCCTGGGGAGTTAGGCTGATAGCAAGCCTTTAAAAGAAGCAAGACAAGCAACAGGATAAATGATGCAGAGGACAAGTTATGGTTTTAGTACGACCACCGTTAGACGAGACATGGGGGAAAGTGCCACCGAAGTCTAAATCATACCTGGTAGAAGACAGTGGGGAGTCAATAAGTAAGAAAAGATATGGAATGTGAGAGAGAATAACAGTTAGCTAGTAAATGGCAGTACGAATAGAGAACCACTTATCAACAATGCGTGAGTTGAATACTAAGTCAACACAGAGCTAGAAAGAGGATATTAGAGATCCTACAAACTACCCAGATCATGAAAGGTCAGGAGGTCGTTGGGATAGTTGAAAGGGGAATGCAAGAATTCACGATGATCGGTTATGGGATTGTCCTTTCCTAAATCGAGGGAGCACCTAGCCGCCTAGGGTACATGAGGGGTGACAGAAGGAGGAACCTCTCTACTAAGTTGGAACTAGAGGGCTAAGAGCTGAAGTCTCGGAACTAGCTCTAGAATAAGTCATTAAGCCAACCGAGTATGGACAAGTAAGTGGAACGTTCAATAAATGTTCTAGTGAATTGCAGAGAATTCGAGGAAGCACATGGAAGCTCCGATGAAGGATGGAGAATATGTGTAGGTGACACGGGTTCAAGAAAATGTGTAGTGGAGTACGACGAGGAGAAGCATTGTAGTACCAAGAAGGAGGAAATCATTAAGTTACCTTACCCAATGTGCCCCACTCTGAGTGGGAGCGGCATAGTAGGATTTCACCCAGAGGAGGCGACTAGTTAAGGATAAATTAGACACATTTACTTAAGCTACTAAGAACCCCAACTGGGAGATCAAGTCAATGTACAGACATTGATCAAAACAAAAGCGTGAAGCTTTGACCCAAAACAACAATGCGAAGATACTCAACGGAGTTTGGTGACCGAATATTGTAGAAAGCAACAACAGAAGGGTAGTAAAAGTAAAGAAGCAAGGAGAACACCATAGGATGATACAGAAAGAAAATGGTGGTCGGCGACCGAACGATGTATGCGTCAAGGAAGATAGCTAGGACGGGCCAAAGCAGGAGTACAACAGACAACAAGAAAGCATTAGGTTGATTACCAGTAGAGAACAGTTGATCCATAGGAAGTCCATCAAAAAATTTCGGCCAATTGTAAGGTGGAATCGTGGTCGTCAAGAATAGTCAAAGGGAGAACCTTATAGGTCAAGGTACATAAGTGAGAAGAGAATATGAGAACCTAGATGACTACATCGAGAACAAGGGACATCTAGAACTAGCGAGTAACATCAAGGAGAAGAGTCACGGGTAGAGAAGTAATAGGGATATGAGTTTAGGGAATCTTATAGGGTACCCCAAAGTAAAGCCAAGATTGCCTATGCGGGTGAAAGGTGTCGATCTCTTGGATAAAAAAAAATTTGACGGGGAAACCGTACAATGAATTTCAGCTAGGGTCCGAGAGTAGCAGAATGGATAGTACAAGAACATAAAATTCGAGCAACGATAAGTGAGTATTTAGTTAGGCGGCCAGTGGTGAACAAGCAAGCCAAGGAGGATGTCATGATTCTTGAAAGAAGCATTAATGTGAATGCAAGTTAGGGGTGCGATGAAATGGATGCCTCTGATGCGTACAGAAAGTAAAAGCAGTAGTACGAGGACTCGGCGTTAAGAAAGAAATAACGAGGAGGTGACCTTTCAATTTATGATCAAATGATAAGATGAAGTATCAAGGAAGAAAGTAAGAGATTCAAAGTTAGAAGGTACAAGAATCTAGGTGATCTACGTGGTCAACCACAAATGAGCTTACGTTAAAAGAGTTTTACGATATAACAAGATGGACGTTAAGCCGCCATTAGTAACCTTAGGGTTGAAAGGGGTATTAAGAACATTAATAGGGATATGTAAGGCATTTTCTCATGCTATAGGCACCATATATGGTGAATCAGGCATCAAGAGTGCGTATCAAGTGGAATTATCAAAGAGGAGAATGACGAGGCGTATAAAGGGAGAGTGCCATAGACGCATTGAGCAAGTAACTAGCTTGAACAAGAGATTTATGAAAAGTGGGCGAGTAATTAGTTGGCCAAGAAGCACACGAATTGGAGGAAAGGGTTCATAGCTCAAGGTCGTACCAGGTAAAGGAAGTATACATCCCAATAGTAGAAGGATTTCCTTAAGTGAGGCCTTAGGTTGTCGCGATGAACAAATTTGGAGCTAAAAAAAAATTCTTAAGGAGAGAGGAAATGTTATATCCCAGTCGAGACAACCGCTATCAATTGCAAGGTATTTTAGTCCAAAGGCCAAGTACACAGTTCCAATTTCGGGGATGAAATTGTTTTTAAGGGGGGAGGAAATGTAACACCCCATTTTCAGGTTAGGGTTCGATTAAGGTTCGACCGAACGTTTGGATCGACGGTTACGTACAAAGAGTTACAACCGCAGATTAGGGATAATAATAAGAATAATAATAATTATATAATAATAATTATTATTAATTAAAATAAAACCCTAAACGTCCCCAACCCCTACCAAAAACCCTTATGTTCTTTTTTTTAAACCACTAAATCACCACCGCCGGAGCAGTTGTCCACCTCTCGCCTTTCCGCGCGTCGCCCGCAGCCCCGCACCCTGCAAAATTCAACCGAGGAAGATGACGCTCGACCGGATAAGCAACAACCTCTTCACGCCGCCACGGCACCCAGTCTCTTCTTTTTTCCTTCACACCTCTGTGAACAAGAAATCAATCTTCTACCCCATCCTTTATTCCGCGGTTCGTTGGGATTGTCTACACCTCGACCCCAGCGACGACAGCTTGGCGCCTTAAATTGGTCTCGAAGATGGATTTCGTGGTCCATACTAACCATACCCATGAAGGGTTTTACTCGCTTCAACACTTTGACACCGCCACTAGGCATGGCGGGTCTTTTGGAGGTAGGCAAATACTAGAACTAGATCAAGGTCCAGGGTTCTGTGGGGACTGTAAAGCTGAGAAAAGGTAGAGTTCTTGCTGCTTCTCACGTAGAAACTCTGCATTCCAATGGGAGAGCTTACACTTCAATAAACAGACAAATGGGTTGTCAACAATTATAGAGATGGATGGATGGATCAATTATTCATGGGGAATTGAAGCTTGAGGTGGATGATGGGGTAAAGAGAATTTTGGAAGCACCCAGGATGGAGCTTGCTTGCACACTCAAAGTAAACGAGGGCTCAAGGCGATCAACCGTTGGATGATGCTTAGTTCAAGTAAATCGACTTGATAATAAGGTGAGTTTAAAGGGGGTAAATTCTACGCCTTACGATTTTCAAGTAATTGCCTTGAGTATTTTCGAGTATTGCCTTACGTGATATATGTGCAGTATTTGATTCATGTTTGAGATTGCATGATTATGGTTGGTGATATGTGCCTTGTTTGATTTATGACTTGAAGTGAATGGTTATTATTTACTTTGAAATTTTCTTGAGTATAAGTTATTGTTAAAGTTTAAGAAACAAGTTTTTTTTTAGGAAGTAACTCACCTTCAAGAAGGTGACGTCGTTTTAAGTGTTTTTAGTCACTAGCGCCAGTCCGTTGCCTTTTGAGACATTTTGAGATAGAGCAGCAGTTATGCTCTTGAGACTTTTAAGATGAGCAGCAATTATGCTCTTGAGAATCGTGGTGAAGAGCCACCACGATAAGTTTAAGATGTTAGGGGGATGAATCGTTACGACTTCCCTAACTAAGTTTAAGTTTAAGGAAAGCTTGGATGGCTTCTCATACGTATGAGTTGGCAACCGGACTAGCTAGTGAGGGATCCCCGTGTCAGTCAAGTTTTTAAGTCAAGAGAGGAGAGTAACTTCAACTCCCTCAAAGGTTAAGAGTTAAGATTTTAAGATTGGAAGTACAAACAACTTCCACTAGTCAAAGTTAAGTGTTTAAGTAGAGTACTCAAGTATTAGAAGTATTAAAACGTAAGGGCGTAGACTGACCCCATCTCACTCACCAGTTTGAGGAGC